TTTGTAATATTCCTAATTCAGAAGTTTTCATTTTAATTAGGAACTCAGTAAGTTACATCATTTGAAAACACAGGTTAAATCTCATTCATTTCACAGAGATAGTTACGAAGTGATGGGTGAACATACATTACGTAAACACATATGTGTGAAGTGACTTTCAGTCTTCTTATATGAAGTGAAAAGGTTGGTTACCTCATAATTAATTTACTTCTTGCTGTAATGTTCAGATTTGGTCTTTGACCTCTTCTCACTTCATACTGTTTGAATGGGTATCCATTTAAAAAAAAAAAAAAAAGTAAAGCAAAATAAAGGTCTTGCCTTTGTTTCCATAGGAAAGACTTGTATTTCTGAAGGGTATGGTACTATTAAGAGAATTGTGTTTCAATGGGGCTGCAATGTTTTAACTGTTGTTCCTATTTTTAGGTTGCAGATATCAAGAGAGTTAACAATCTTATCAACGATCAAGATTTCTTTGCCCTGAGGTCTGTCAAAATTCCGGTGAAAAAGTTTAGTGTATTGACTGAAACACATGTCTCTCCAAAAGGAAGACAAGTCCTTCGGCCTGCTCTCTATTCCCCAGAAGTGCAGGAAACGTCACTTTCTGATAAATTCTCTGCTAATGAGACTGCTGGCAACTTCTTAAAAGAAGTGGATCGAGATATAGAAGAAATAGTGAAGTGTAATGATACAAAGAAAGAGAATCTTAATGAAGTTGTTTCTGCTTTAGCAGCCCAACAGGTCTGTTTTGAAACTGATGGTAAAACTAAAAAAAGCAAGGATCCTTACTACGGAGCAGACTGGGGTATAGGATGGTGGACAGCGGTAGTGATTATGTTGATCATTGGCATAGTAACTCCAGTTTTTTATCTCCTGTATTATGAAGTTCTGGTGAAAGCAGATGTCAGTCACCATTCTACAATGGAATCTTCCCATTTGTTTGTCACAGCAGTATCACATCAGAAACAAATAGAAAATGGAATAAATCAGGGGAATTTTATCAATGTTGATAATCAAGGAGACTTTCAGCATTAACAACAGAGTACCACATGTAACTTATTGGTAGACACATAACATAGTGTTAGGCAAAGGGGAAACCACAGAATGCAAAATGTACGTGGAACGCAGAGGAAACGAGTACTGATGTATGACTTGCCCTCATGGGTAGTGTTCCACCACAGGGATGTTTCTGGGGATCATGTAATCTCTGAATATGCCTGAGACAGGCAGTTTGCAAGACTGGGATACAAATTAAGCTATAAAATCGTCTCTGAAGCTTTGCACTTTTTTCTATTTTGATAGACATATGTTTTTTAATTAATGATGAGGTGAAAAAATGTAGTTTGAACTAACACACAAGGAGTCTCACTGTGCATTTTACAGCCCAGAAATGGGCATATGGGGATATCTTAACTTTTAAACATCTGAAAATATTTACAGAATTCATAGTACTCTTCACTTTTTAATATCAGGTTTACAGTTGTCAATTAAAATGCTGTTCTCATATTTTTCTCTTTCTTACAGAGTAAGATTTTTTTTTTTTGAACCCAATCATTCCATAATTAATTGCCACTATGAAGTTCCTTTTTTACAAGTGACTTCTACAGAGGCAGTAGCAAATACTTAAGCCAGAATCTTTAATTCTTGTGCCTGTGGTCAACCCCTTCTACAGTATTTTCAATGTAGGCAGTAGGATAATTTGTTTTCTCTGTGTGTGACACTGTGCTTCAACACAGTCCAGCTGAGAGAGTCGTCCTGAAACTTCACATTCTTCTGTGATATGCTGCTGAAAACTGACTGGACTGCATTCTCATCTGGTCAGCTGTGTGTAGGAATGAAAAAAGTGCAGAATTTTTTTTTCCCCCTTCAGCCAATCTCAATTCAGGACCAGCTGATTCTTCAGACACCAGTCATGTGGGTTCTGAATATGCTAATGGTCTTGTGCCCATGAACCTCAAACACTTTTTCCTGAAACCTAGAAAACTTCAAATGAGATTTAATGCCTGATAGCAAATTGCAGCAAAATAGACAAGCTGCAGCTTCAGACTTTTTCTTTACATAGTAGTGTATTTTATCTGTTCTTGAATGTTTCACATGGAGTTTCATGATCAACCTTGGTTTTCCCCTCTTTTTCTCCCCCCCCCCACCAAACCAACAACAATCAAAACAAAACAAAAAAACAACTCTGGACTCTTCATACAGAAAGAAGGAGTTACTTGTGTACTCAGAATACTTTTAAATAAAAACTGAGATGGTGCCTATAATTTTTTTTGTTGTGTTTACCTTGTAGAGCAAAAATCCATTGCCCTGCTCAAAATACTATGCATTACCAAAATCCAAGATTAACTAACTTTGATTATAACTTATAAAGAGAGAAGTGGAAAAATAATCAGTATCCTTTAAACAACTATTGTAAGCTTTCCATTGAATGTCTTGACTAAGTATATAGGTATATATATATAGTATAAAAAAAATCTAGTAGGGTAAATGTTTCCTTCCTATTGAGTTATTTCAAAGTGCTTTATCAGGTTCTGAGGGTAAAGACTTAGACCCCATCTATTCTTGGCGCAGACAGTCTTCACTGGCATGCCAAGTGTATGAACATGAATTGGCTAACTTGTATTATATTGAAATTGAAGGCAGGCCAAAGCTTGAGGGAAAATGGTATACAGTTAGGTATGTGAACCTGTGGCTCTTGAACCCTTTGTTCAGAGGGGCAGCTGTGGAGATAGTGAGCCTACTCATAGTCTCTGCACTAGAAAAGAGATAACAAACAGGCATGAACTTAATGGTTCACATAACCCTTGCTTTCAAAGATCTTTTACAGTAATAGTTCTTTTCACAAAGACAATATGCCAATAACACAAATATCAATACTGAGGTACCAGTTCTAGGTAATGCTGTATGAAAAACTGCATTGCAAAATACTTCTTGGTGGCTAAAGTGATACAGCTTCTAGGGTTAAAACTTTGAAAGGACTTACTCTAGTCCAGATGAGAGCTTTGGCACATGAAGACAGATGTTTACTCTAAGGTATGAAACTTGGTATATAATGTGTCAGCTTTTTTGCTGCAAGCTTATTTACTAGTTTGCTTCTTCCCCCATCATTCTGTTCCTGAAATCTCAACAGTTCTAATACTTTATCCTTCCATTTCTTACAGATTCATCAAAGCACGTTAAATTAGCTATTGTGATGATACAACATAAGCCTCATTTACTGCACATACCTGAACTGATGGGTATTAAATTGCCATTGGTGTAGAAGTGAAATTAACTTTGGCTGTGGTCTGACTAGGTCAGGAAGGTCTCTGTCTGTTGATGTAAGGATACAGAGGTCTGTAGTTAACTGATACTTTTTGTTATATGGTGGAACAGATGAAGAGATCTTTGTCCCAGGCTTTGGGTCTTTACAGTGTTGGAATACCTGTGGCTTACTGTCCCCTTGATTTACCTTAGGATGAGTAGTCCTTGGAAAAACTTAAAGGGACAGCTCTTTAACTGGACTGTATTACATTCTAATCAAGAGCCTGGAATGTTTTTACAAATGTATGACATAGCTTATTTCATGCAGCACTTTTTATCAGAAGATGCAGTAGCTCTTTTTCCAAGATTGTAGGACTCCTGGTCCTGGTAAACTACAAAGATCAGCTGGCATGGCTTTCTCCAGGATGCAGGGATCTTTACTTTTTTTTTTCCAAAGTTCAACACAACTGGAAATGTATCATCACATCAGCTCTGAATAAACAGGGTAACTGCTCTGTAAGAAACTTAAATCTAACTTAAGTTAAAATCTGTAGAGTTAATCTTCCAGAAACTGACTTCTTAAAAATAAAACCAACAACAAAACACAAAATAACTGAGTTGTAAATCACCTTTTGGATCAATTGCAACATACTGATCAAGGAAGTTGGTTTTAACTTAAGTGTGTATTGCACTGTTGGATCATATAAAATTGAAATGTTTTAAATCCACTATTCTTTGGAATATATTGTCACAAATAGTCTTTGTATAACTTTTATAAAGCCTGAAAATACAACTTTGTAAAACACTTCTGAGTGAGGATGCAAGTCTTACTTTAAATACTTCTGCTCTTCTGCTTTTAGAAGAACATAAGTAATACATGTAAAATAAAGGTTTTATTTTAGACAACGGTGAAAGTGGTGCATATAATATATTCTTAGCTGTACATACTGTGCATGTTTTATTACAGGAGGCCCCTACTTGTATTTGTTTTGGCCAGGTTTTATGTATGATCTAAAATAAAAATCCTTGGCTAGCAAGCATTTTGTTGGCAGTAGCTGCATATAGCATTTACATCTAGCATACTGTAACTGCAGCCTTAATGTTTTATCCTGTTCATGCCTTGTAAACTTGGAACTTTTCCGCATAAGTTTCTGAGAACTTGTAAATTCCCAGAAGTAGATATGAAAAATTAAGGTAGGGATCAGTGAAATTCTTATATGGTGATATGACTACACACGGAAAGCAATCCTCTTCTTCTATGCTGTAAATACAAGATTTGAATATATGCCTGTCAAAATGTGAAGTTTGCCGACAACCAAAGAACAGTTTCATTGTCATTATGGTCTTGCAATAAATTCTAAGCGATCAGAAAATCAGCTTCTAAAAAGAGTTGCATCTCTTGAAGAGCACAATCTCACTGCTCTTTAAAAGTGCCTTAACACAGAGCTGTCCTTGCAGAACTTGGCATGTACCTAAGCAATGGCTTTATTTGCCATTGTTAAACCAGTCGTAGAGGGCCCAGCCTAAGACTCTGCAGTTCCCTCTGGAGGACAGTGACTACAGTTTACCTTTCAAAGGTCTCAAAAAGACCTGATTTTTCCCAGAGTAGTATTTCTCAACAGTGCAGCAGGGAGGCAGTTGTCTCATCCACTAGCAGTATGATGGGTGGAGGAAGTCATTGGTCCTCGAGAACTACTGTCTGCTATCAGGATACAGGAAGGATACGTGCCCTGCATGGGGCAAACAGCCAGCAGCAGCAGTTACACTTATGGCAAGTGAGTTTAGTTTTCAGCACGCTTACCTCATTCACATCTTCTATCTCTGTTTTGTATATCACATACAAAGAAGCAAGCACACCTAACTGCTGATGCGTGATGTTAAAAAGAAAACTGAAAGAATGTATTTCCTATGCAATGCAGTAGAATCTTTATTAAACATTTGTATTCAATAAACACTTCAAAATAAAAGTGATATATCTCTGAGGTGTGACCTGCATAGCATTTTAGTTTAATTTCCTTTACATATGATATGTATTTTATTAGAACATTTAAAAGCTACACCTTAAGGACTAAATTCTTACTGCATATAGAAGTGCATAGAATAATGCAGAACTGTTTCCAGTCACAAGTGAGGTGAAGTACTGCTTGACAGAATGCCAGACATGCAAGGAAAACTACTGTAGTTTCCTTTGCTGATAAAAATAATTGATTTTGTTTGAAACTTTTCATTAGAGCCAGTAACAGCACTGATTAATAGGAACATGTTTTAAGAAAGTAAAAAAAAAAAAAAAAAAAAAAATCCAAAAAACCCCCCAAACCCAAAAAACTACAACAATCAGTAGTAATGTAATTACACTGACGAATAATATTTTGTACCATCAAAAGATGACACAAAGAATGCACTGTTACTGTATTATTCAAACTCAGTTATAAATTTTCAAAACTTCAGCTTTTGTTCTTAAATAAAATTGATGTTTCCAAACATTCTGGTTTTGCTATTCTTAGCATTCTCCCCTTGCTTTTCTAATTAAAACCTCATGCATTAAAATACTGCACCACATTTTTTCTTACATTTTTGTTTTTTATTTTCTATTGATTTGCTGTCTGTTTCTGTCTTGTTTGTTCTGTAGGAAGTAAACAAATGCATTAACAATTACATAGATACATATCTGCCTTCTCACTTAACAGCTCTGTGAGGTAAGAAAGTCTGTAACAGGCAGAGAAACTGAGGCAAAGGACTGAAATTTTCACTAACTGGTGAAACCACGATTTTGTAATTTCCTAACTTCTGCCATATATTCTTTTTAAATCAAATTGTCCTTAATTATGACTTAAGGTGATTCATAAAGGTAAGGTAATACATTTTACCAAAATACTAAAGGCAATGTATTCTTCTAACTACAGTAATGGCTTTTCAAATTACTGTCATATTGTTTGTCTATATTTCTAAGGTTTTTTCAAGTCAGTTTATATTAAAGTGCTTAGTCATCAATTATTTCTAGTCACCTGAACTCAGAAGTTACATAAGCTTCTTAGAGAAGTCAGCTGCCAAATGCAAGCAGTTTATGGCCATAAAGGCCATATCTCTTTTGCTGCATTCATCAAGAATTTCATGACTGGTTTCAAGATTTCACTGCTGAGGCACAGAACTGACTAGTGCAAATGCTTAGGCACAATTTCAAGTAAAATGCATACATTCTTTTTCTGTGCAGAGGCGACACAATGGCATATAGCTTACTCCAGAAGACCTTAAAAAGGCGCATATCTGAAAACACTTGGCAAAAGAACAAAACAAAGGATCTCATATCCTCTTTTACAGCATAATACAATTAAACTCCAATGTGGTTTTGGAGAGTCTGCTTAAAACCAATAGAGCTAAAGCATTAGGTCTGTTGATATTCAGCCTACCTCCAGAATTCTACTTCAAGTAGTGTAAGGCTTGAGCAGTGTAGCACCTGGCAACCACAGTTAGTATGTTGCTTCATCCATATTGTCATCACTGCCATCACCAAAGTCATCTCCATCGTCAAAATAGGAGGAAATGTAGTCATTTTCCTAAACCAATTGAAGAAAAAAATCTATCATTTTATTTGTGGAGAAGACAATTTATAAAAGAAACATCCTTTAAACTGCACTTGAGTGCCCACCTTTTAAAACAGTAGTAGATTTTATTTTCTTGGCAAAGAAAAAGGAAAATACTCCAATGAAGTTCTGATACCTATGAAAGAAGAGGCATCACTGTTTTAGTGATGAAAAAGAGTAATTGTATGTATTGATTGTGGCAGGACACATTCCTGTGGGCAAGATCTTTTTTTCAGAGCTCTTTGTGAATAATAAGTCTAAAACACTCATTTAAATGAACTACAACAAAATATAGTACAACAAAGATCATTAATGTAATAATGCCTCCCACAACAACTCTCCCTTGGCATCAGAGAAGCTAGGGACATTGGCTTCCAGCCAACACAGTACTCAATGTATAAAGAGGAAAACTAACATTATACCTCTTCATGTTCCTCTTCATCATATTCATCTGGTTCTTCTGCTTCTTCATCATCTTCACCTTCTTTGTCTTTTGTTTTGTCTTTCTCATCTTCAGATTTTTCTTCTTCATCATCCTTCTTTTCCAACTCCTGTCACAAGGCAATCTGCTTTACAAGGTAATCCCATATTACAGTGACAGCAATTCATAGTACCAAAATATTAAGATGCAGTTAACAGCAAGACAGCATAACAATGCTGTGAAAATGCTGACATTTAAACCAACATGATGTGAAGCACAGGAACTTCATACAGACTTGGTCAAGCATCAGCCATCGCACTTAGAGGCTAAAAAAGCATAGCTTGTGTTACAGAGATGATGATTTCCCTTTACCATCCACTGATAGCACAGTTGACAGGAGAAGGCCGTGTCATTAATTGATAAAGCAATACCATATACTCTATGTAATAATATAACTGCACCAAACAACTGATGGATCACCACAAGAAAAAATACAAAGGTGTTCCACCTTTAAGCTTCCCATTCCCACATGGCGAGTAATTGCCTGCAAAACAGAGGTCACTTCCTAAGTTTCTCTTTCTGTATGTTTCTTCCCTCTCAACTTACTAAATTGTTTAAGTTCTCACATCAGTAGAATGGTGAAACAGCAATAGATTTAAAAGCTCTGGCACCAGTTTCTCCTTCAGTAAGCTCCAACAGTAGCTCTGCTGTTCAAATTAGTCTGTATTGTTAACCAGTGAAGAGCAACTGGCTGTTGTGTTCAGGTACAAACTGGAGCTATCCAGGCTCTATCCTTACTCTAACCCTTATGCCACCACAGTGCAGAATAGCTGTCTGCCAGAGTAACATGACAAGGCCAGAATAAAGGCTGTTCTGGTTATTTCATTTGTACCAAAAAACATACTAGGTTTCATTTTCCTTCAGCAATCTCTAGTGTACAATTTAGAAAGACTATGCACATCTTACCTCAATTTTTTTTATCACATCCAGATTACTTTTAGGCTCAAAGTTTTTTGCCTTTTTTGGTTTTGCACCTGGTGAAATAAAATACATCACTATTACTTTTTAATACAGAAAGCACAAATTCTTTTGTTTTACTTGGTTTTACGAGCTTACATCTTGAGTATGCCAGGGAAATCCTATACTGACTGTATTAAAATTACCTTAGACTTTGAGCTACATCATTCATAGAAGTCTAAGTGCCTGGTTTATGTAAGACATGCTTAGAAGGCCAATCTGAAATTCAGTTTGAACAAGTAGTTGACCAAAGGTTTGGCTAAAGTATGATGTCCAGCTTCACAAAAGACTTGTCAACTACCTGCTCACAATATGTTATGAAACTAGAACAAAATCTCACTTGTTATTTTTCATCATCTTGAAAAGATAGAAATTCATTGTTACTAATTTATACAACACAGCTGGGTGCTTCAGATAAGTAGATTTAAAAAAAGGAACACACAGGTCATTAGCTGTAACACAGAAGGCATGGTTACTGTAGCTACATGGCTCTTGGGCCATAGCTAGCTCTCACCTAATGAGTCCACGGAATGTATTTGCACCTAGCCCCCTGATTCATGAACATAATCTTTACCAGGTTACTCCCTGATTAATTATATGGTGGAGCAAAGGTCAAAAATAGCATTCCATACACCCAGGTAAGAGCTACCTGAATTGCAGCACCCTGTATCAAAGTTGCCCAAATACCAGCCTAATACTCAAGGAAGCAGAACCCTGAGAACTGCTGAGCAAACAACTGTTATTTTGTTAAAAGCATTTGCCATATGTAACACTGAGTTTATTTCAGGGTTTTGCCTAGGAAACGATTATGTGACTAAAGCACTGCAAAGAGCTGAGGGGAGTCAATCTGCTCTGTAAAATATGAACAACATCAAAGAAAACACATCCAGAATGAAGTAGGCTTTTAAGGAAAACAAGTGTAAAGTGCAATTCAGAATTATCATCTCTGCACAAACTCCTGCAGGCTTTTAGATTAAATGCAGATAGAACAGACATGTAAGATTTGTCCTTAAATGCCAAGCATCTTTAGCCCTTATCATGAAATTAGAGATACTGACCAATCTTTAGTAGAACTTCAAGTGAAATAGCTCTCTACATCATATACCTTAGAGGGGCAAGGGAATACAATCTAATCTGATTTCCAAATACCCATTCTTGAAGTACCTGGGCTAAAATGCATGTACCTGATTGCTATATACATATGCACATGGCTGGCCTACAATGTCAGCTGAACCCAGTCAGCACCTTTTTTTTTTCCTTTTTTTTTCTTTTTTTCCCTTTGTTTATTTTTTTGTTTTGTTTTTGGCAGGCAGTGCTGGCATCTAGAATACTGTGTTCCGTAGCCCAGGGTCAGTGTGGGAGAGATATGGAATTCTACCCCAAGTTTTGTCACTAAGAAGGCAGGTGGTCAGATCTTTGGTTAAAACATTCAGGGAAACTAGAAAGAGGAAGGGAGAGACGCGTAAAAATAAAGCTGTCCCTGTACATGCAACTGTGTAGAGATCCCCAGACCACTCCTGCATGCTACAATGGGGAATGGTAGGAAGCCTGGTTGAATTTCTATGCAAATTCTCTTGACTCACTCACCTTTGTTCCACAAGGGTTAAAGTGTCACCTAAGTCAGCTGTCCTCAAAATACAAGCAAGATATGTACCAGGAGGGCTGATGTGTCACTGACCAGCTACATACAAATGTCCTGAGTCATATAACTTTTGTATGCCCTCTGTATCATCAGAATTCCCCCAAAAAACTAAACCACATAGTTTTTGCTTTTGAGGGAAGTTGGTTTTTAATCCAATCAAATTTTGATGATCACCTGATCTCTTCGCCATTATAGCCATGTAGGAAAATGTACTTTTAAGAGCCAATAGAGAAACTGGCACTAAAGAAAGAAGAAAGATCCCACAGTGAGCAGTGATTTTCTCTTAATCATAATATTTTTTAAACAAGGATTAATAGTTATTTATTATTTCATTGATCTTGGGGAGCTACCTATTGTGCATGCACTTACAAAAGCCAGTGGTTTCCTCTTGTCGGGGGGAAAAGAAGTAGGTATATTTTGGTCCCACCTTTAGAGATTTTGCAAATAAGTATTTGATTTTCAGTTGAATCTTACAGTTTACCTTTAGTACCATGCTTCTCAATGACATTATTAAAAGGAACAAAGCTTCCAGATGAGCCAGTCTTTGTACTACTGCACATTTCCATTTCTTTTTCTATTTTACCCTTGAACTGAAAAATGCCACATGAGGGACTTGGACAAAAACAATAAGAAAATATACAATTATATATAAATAGACGGCTAGATACAGGAGGCCAAGTGTTATTTCACATCATCAGAACAACAGCTTTCTATAGAGAACTTAAAAAAAATCATGTACACTAGAAAACACTTTGAAACAAATGATGCTGTATAACAAAATCTTTTTTCCTACAAGAACAGCAAATTCCAGCTCCAACTGCTGTTGAAGGATCTGGTTCACAAATCTGCAGAAGAAAGCTGAAAACAGACAAAAAAAGTAAACCCAGGGAAAACAGAAAACAACCCACATTAAACCACATACAAAAGGCTTAAAAAAATGCAAAACTCAACCAAATAATAAGTAATTGAGAAACCCAAAATACAAAGGAAATCTGAACAGCCAGTTACTTATTGAATAGAAGGGTGAGTGTTGATTAAGATACAAGCTTTTTTTTTAATTTTTCACTGTTACATGTATAGTGAAATACATCCATACAGGAGTCAGGAAAGGAAGATAAATCTGTACAAATAAGTTAAAACATCCTATAAAAACAAAGCAAAAACCACAAAAGGCGGGCAGACAAGTAAATTATTTAGAAAAAAATCTGCCAAAAGACCTGATTATTTGGACTAATTAACATTTCTACGATATTTTTTCCTCTAACCAGCTCCACTATATCTTTTGTCTCTCAACTACTGTGTATTATTTGCTTCTTAAAAATATATAATGTACCTTTTTTGGTTGTCTTCTTTGGTTTCATCTCTCTTGGGAGTCTTCTCCAATCTGTACAGAAAATAGTTCTAATATAGAAAAATGATGATTTACTGCAGTAATCCTCTCCCTGTAATTCACCAAGGAAAGGAAGAAGCCCCTGTTGTTCTTGATTCTATTTACGTGGATACTGAAATGTTTTAGCATACAACAATTTTAGGGAATTCTAGCTGTAATTTAAATCGAGGAACTGGACTCAGGACTGTCATTTCCCCCACATAATGACAACTGGCCTCTATCCCAAAGAGACAAGTTCAGCCATTCCAGTGGCCCATGGGCCCTTCAATTTAAATTATGTAATTAAGTTTGCAGTAGTGAGCTATACAGGTATGACTACCCATGACAGACATCAGGTTGGGTTATTTTTAGTAACATCAATGTTTGCTCCCAGTTCAAAACTGGTATCTGTGTGGTGAGTCAGGAAAAAGAAAAGCTGAAGTCAGAGCTGAAGCTTGCATTTTTGCTGCATATCAGTTGTTACAACTCAGTAAATAAATAAGATCAGATTTTTCCCCTTTTTTTTCTGACAAAACAATACTTGCCTTGATCTGAAAAACATGCAAAGGACAATAACTCTCAACAAGAAACGTATGACTTGGTAAGGATTTTCATACTTTTTTATTGCTTGAAAAATAATGAATCAAACACTTAAAAGAGCAGAACATTTCACGGGTCAACAGAAAATTAGCCTCAGATGCTACCTGGAGTCCATGTTTTCTGCTCCTTTTCACTGTCCTGGTACTTTTGACTGTACCTCTCAATTGCTGTAGAGAAGGATACAAAGAGTTATTGACTTCAACTGATTTAACAGGCAATCCAGACATAGTCCTTGATATTTTCCTGTAACTAAACATACAGTGTATTTTTTTATTCCCACATTGAACACTTTCTTGTTGTCAAGAACGTAGAAAAAAAAGAAAAAAAAAAAAGCACTCCAAAATTATTATAATTTATGCTTTTATCCTTGAAAAGCATGAAACTATAAAATGCAGATTTAATCAGAGAAACTAGGCTGAAACATCAAATGTAACACTAACTGTTATACTCCTCAAGATTTTCACAATCAAACCTTTGCTACAAAACCAGTCAGTGACATTTAACATCTCTATGTTAACCATCCAGAATTCCCAGTTCTCAAAAGGCTGTGTCTCAGTCTGATCATCACCTTTCGAGACTTTCAGTACTTCTGCAATGGAAAAGCTTTGCATCCCATCCTAAATAGCAGCAACACCCTTTAATCCATTACAGTACAATACAGTACAAGAACTAAACTGAGAAATGCATCATAAGTGGTCATACAATGTAAGCACATCTATTTATATTGAAAAAAACTTTTATTTAAAATCTGTAATGACAAAAGCAATATCAAAACTTTAGTATTTTTAAATCAGTCCCCTTTTTACTTACCGAATTACCATGCACAACTGCAAAATCCACTTCATGCAAAATTAGTGAGTCCAATTGCACTAATAACCCGTTATTCCAACAGGGATAATTTCTGTGAGTATTGTACAAAAAATAGTAACTGAGACAGCCTTTGACCTTTAGAGTCAAACACTTCTAACATAGAATCATAGAATGGTTTGGGTTGGAAGAGGATCTTGAAGATCACCTAGTGCCGTGGGCAGGGGCACCTTCAACTATACCAGAGCCCTATCCAACCTGGCCTTGAAACTTCCAGGGATTGGGTATCCACCAACTTCCCTGGGCAACCTCTTTCAGTGCCTCACCACCCTCAGAGAAAAAAATATTTTCCTTATGTCTGTGAAACCTGCTCTGCTTCAATTTGAACCCATTTCCCCTTGTCCTATCACTATGTGCTCTCATAAATAGTCTTGCCCCATCTTTCCTGTAAGTTCCTTCAGGTACTGGAAGGCCATAGTAAGGTCACCCTGAAGGCTTCTCTTTTCCACGCCAAACCATCCCAATTCTCTCAGCCTTTCCTCATAGGAGAACTGCTCCATCCCTCTGATCATCTTGGTGTTCTCCCCTAGACTTGCTCCAACAGGTCCATATCCTTCCTGTGCTGGGACCCCAGAGCTGGATGCAGCACTGCAGATGGGGTTTCACCAGAGCAGAGCAGAGGGACAGAATCACCTCCCTTGACTTGCTGCCCACACTGCTTTGGATGCAGCCCCGGACATGTTTGGCTTTCTGGGCTGTGAGTGCACATTGATGGCTCATTTCCAGCCTCTCACCCACCAGCACCCCCAAATCCTTCCTGGCAGGGCTGCTCCTGATCCATTCATCCCCCAGCCTGTGTTGATACTGGGGGTTGCCCCAACCCAGGTGCAGCACCTTGCACTTTGTCTATTAAACCTCATGAGATTCTCATGGGCCCACTTCTTGAGCCAGTCAAGGTTCCTCAGGATGGCATTCTGTTCTTCAGATGTGTGCTCAGCAGAGAGAAAGAAAATATCATAAATGAAGCTCAATTTTAAACTTAGTTATGATGAGGGCAAGCAGAAAACCTTCTTAAAACTGTTCAAGAAAGAGCCTGCATTTAAAATAACAGGGGCATTCACAGATGCTGTAGGAAACTGTCAGCAAAGAGAGGAAAAGAAGCCAGTAGTTTTGATTTCAGCTCAAGGTTCTTTAGTGAATACTGCCATCAGTACAAAAAATCATTGACTGATTCACACCTCTCACAACTAATGAATTAATTCAAAGCCACTGCCAAGGTGGCAGTCACCCAGTCATAGCAGATATACCTAAAGGAAAAATATGAAAGATTAATAGCTAATTTAATGAGGAAAATGAAGAACTTTCTATAGAATATGCCTACTATTCACACAACATGAGTAAATGAATGATGAAATGAATGATGAAAATCTATTCTATATGGCACACTAACACATCAAATTTGACAGGTAGCATTATATGGAGCTTTTGTTTACTACCTGAATAATGAGACAGATAGCTACATCCCAACTAATTAAAATGTTTCCCTTCTTGCACTTTCAAGGACCATTTGGCTCAGAGATGTTGTGCTGAGGGTTTAAAACAATCCAGTCACTCTTGTAGCAAAGCCAATTTATGAAGTTCTTGTTTACAGTCCCCCTCCTGCCTCCTCTTAGTTCTACCAGATGTTTTAATGAAATAAAGTGGAGCAAACAACTGTTAACCAGGTAACAGAAAAGATCAGTTAAAAACAGTCTGTTCCGGGGGATAAATGCAATTTTCTTAAAACTAGGCCACTTCTGCCAGAGTGCAGTCCCAGAGACAACTGCACACTATGACTGATATGAAAACAAGCTTTTTAAACTGCAGACTACTCCTGATGTAATTATACCGCATCCCTCAGACGCAGCATTTTTGTACAACTTACGATTTAATAAAAAGTTACCTAGACTTACCAACTTACCCTTGGTAAGGGTAAGATGATGAGAACATTCAGAGCATTATTTCAGTCTATCAAGTGGTCTACCCGCTTTCTCTGCAATTTCCAATTTTGATATTAAAAACCAGTATTCCAAGCTGGTAATTCTACTAAGGAACAAAGCAAGAGAGAGAGATCTCTCCATTTTGAAAGAAGGTTGCAGAAACAAAGATGATTTTGAGGCGATCAGTAAGAACAATCACATAAGGCAAAGTTGGAAAAGAGAGATAACATTTTCTCATAAAGCAGCAGGCTCCTTGGAAATAACCCTGACTGGCTCTCAGGCATAGCAGTTTCCTGGTTTGTGCCTCTAACTGAAATAGCAAACTTCAAGCCTGAAGATCAAAAGCACAGCAAGCCTCTAGTGAAATGAGAATCCAAACTGATTGAAATTTGTTTACTCAGAAGATGAAAGAGAAGATGTGTGTTATAGGTTAGAAATCCAGGAGGGGGCAATTTTTCTTCCCCCTGCCCCCACTGTAGGAAAGACAGAGTTTGAATGGAAAGGGAGGCGATTAGCGTTACAAAGGGTCTAGCCAGCCAAGCTGCATTCTTAACGAATGGCCCATCAGAGGCTGGGGGAAGGCAGGGAGGAGTTTTGGGGGGTTGCTGGCACTCCTCAGAAGGGAGAAGTCAGTTTTTGGCTGAGCTCTCGCTCTGGGATGGAGACAGGGGCCTTGTGTGCGTGCTTTTGGAGAGGAGGCCTGGAGACCGGTCCTTCTGGCTTCCCGCCCTGGTCAGCCCTGACCGCTGGCCTCGACTTGCGGGAAGGCTGTCTTTGTCTCCAGCCCGGACCTGCTGTGTTCTCATCGGAGAGTTTTTGTGCTCACCGGGAGAAGAAAGGAGGAGCCCTGGGACACTGTCATCTGAGGACAACAGTGAGTTTCATGGGGGTGGACTGTTTTCCTTTCCCCTTTCTTCCACTGGGGGAAGGGTCCCCATTCTCTTTTCGGCTTCTCCCGCGACCCGAGACCCCCCCCAGACCCCTCCCTGTGTGGTGACCTCCAGAGCCCAACAGTGCCCCCTGCAGGCCACGATTAGGACTGTGCTGAAGGACAGAGAAGTATTCAGACTTTTTTTGTTGGTTTGAAGGGGACTTTTGGGTACAGGACTATTGTCAAGGGGGTTTTTTGTGTTCTATTACTGTTCTTGCCAACATACATATCTTTTAATAAAAGGTTGTTATTTCTTCTGTTTTTTCCACACTTCCTCGATTAAAGCCCCTTAATTTTGAATTTACAGTTGCTGAGAGGAGTTTAGTTTGTATCATAACTCATCCTCTTTAGCAAACATTCCCATCTCTTCAAACTGAGAAAATGTGATAATAGAGTCATTTAGAGTTCTTATCTCATCATAAAGGGATCTAGAAATAAGGATCAGATCTGTTCTTGCCTCATAACCAGTTTTATCTGGCTGCACTGTCAGGGTCCACCCTGGTCTGTGCTTGTGCTGCACTAGAGCTGCGTCCCAGTGGTTGCTGGCCTCCAGCTGCATGTCAGGGGAAATACTCCGCCTTTTGTGAACCCACAATGTCAGTCTGGCAGTGTATTCACTGCTCACACTGCAGGGCACTGCTCCATTTTATACTGGGCTTTAGTACAAGAACAAGTGGACAATGAATAAGGTGTGTTATTCAGTGTAACAGTCAAAGCCCAATAAAAAAAATTGCAGAGTCTCAAAACCATCTAGAATTCACCACTACACCATGAACAGAAATTAACAAAATTCAGAGAGGATTACACTAGGCACTTCTATGTTAATATTTAATTACATGCAAGCAAAAGAAATTCTGAGATCAAGCAGAATAAGATCAAGATCTGGCTTCTAATCCAGCTCTGCTTCTGGTGTAAACCTCAGTAAATCACTTATCTTCACCTCAGTCTTCACATTTCCAGTGACTTGTCAGTAACACTTACTAATATTTCTTGAACGGACTTAGGGGGAAAAAAAGCTGAGTACCTTTTAGAATGTTCATCCATTAAATATAATATTGATTATTTTGAGTATATCTTTACACAACGAAAGCTGAATTTCAAGACTAGTATTTACTATGGATTTCTTTGCTCTAATGTAAAATTTTATGGCATTTTAACATGTAGAAATGCCTACTGCACACGTATAGGCTAGCATATAATTAAAAAGACTGCATGTAGTTGGTCTAAATGTTTCTTACTGTATAACAAATGGAGTAGATGTTTCATACCTTTCTTTTTCAACAGTAGTTGCTTTCCAGTTATAGCACTTGTAGATGTCACCCATGATTTCAATAAGTGTAAAAGCAGAAAAATTCCCTATTATCTTAAGTTGCTATTTTTTCTTCCTCATTATTAGTATGAAACTCATCTTCAACACATGCATTTCCCTATATGGCCTTCCCAGAACAGTAACTAAAGATATAAATAAAAAGTTCACAAACCTTGATTTTCTTCTTCTACTGTCAAAAAGTACGGCATTCTTTTCATAGTTCCTCTAAGATCTTGTTTTAAGGCCAACATGTAGTCTTCATCTTCTCCTGTTTTCAGAGGCACTGGCTTATTGTCTGTACTCTGTACAAATCATGTTTATTATATATAAGGTCTTGATATCCACCAAATACACAGGTACGCTAATAAAAGCTACAATAAACACAGTTAATAAAAGAAGAATGCAACTATGCATTACACTACTTCACAAGTATACTATATTGCATTCTGACATGCATAGTAACTATGTTTACATCTAAATTTATACCTTATATAACTTGACTGTATCTTTCTGCAAAAATGTATCAAGAAATCAAGGAAAAAAAATGTTAAAACTGTGAAATAGTCATTCATAGTCATCCCGACTAGCCAAAAGCAGTTTTTCTCACTAACCTTACTCAGAAACCATTTCTTCTCTCTTCATTCATAGTGCTGGCCTTAACCACTTCTAAAACAGTGTTTTAACTACATTAAGTATGATTTCTGAATACCATGGACACCTTTTCCATGACTATTGTCATGGGAATGCGTAGTGTTGTCATACAACCAGGTAGTACACAGGCCCTCACACAATTCAATTTCTGTCAGCTGAATTTAAATGAATTGTCAAGGTTTGGATTTTTTTGGGTTTGTGTTTTCTTGGGTAGGTAGGTTTTTGGTTGTTGGTTAGTTGGCTTTTTTGTTTGGTTGCTTTGCTTTTTGGGGTTTTTTTTGGTGTGTGTTTTTTGGGGTTTTTTGTGATGTTTGGTTTGGTTTTTGGTTTTTGTTTTAACTATGAATCTTGACATTGGGAAAGATAAATATACAAAAATAGTTTAAAAATATCAAGAATCCTAAAGACAGAATTACACAAGGGATGTTGTTTCTCTCACATGACAAATGGTGCACAATAAATACTTGAGTGTTAGGTTGCAGAACAAAAAGTCCTATCACAAGTCCCAGAGCTGGGCCATGAAAGGAGTTTACTGCTTACAGCTATATTTATTAGCAACAGTTCACTGCTTCAAATTATTTCAGTGTCAGTCAACAGCTGTAACACACTTTTGGTCATTGCCCCATCATTAAATCTAACACTTGAATTTTTTATTGACCCTAGTTATACAACTGGGTTAACTCTGATTTTCTTAAATGGCACTAGATTTGCCCTGAGAAGTTGAACTTGCTTCTGAAACTTTCTTCGTAGAAGGAAGATGTGGGAGGCAATTGAGCTGTGGACAGCTTGGGCCCTTGCAGATGTGAAGTTGTGAAGGAATGTAAACAACAAAGATGAGAAAGCGGACAGGGAGGAGGGAGCTGCAGGGCAGCTGTGATAGCCAGAGAGCCTGGACTGTTTGCTGAGTGACCCTGAGTTGCAGAAACTATAGAGCAGCCAATCTTAAGATGGGTATGCAGTAAGGGCACCAAAGGTGGTGAAATACGCTGGCTAAGGGAGACTATAAATTGGCCACATTTGTATGAAATAAAGGCTTTTCTGTGTGACATCCCAGTGTGGTGTTCATCCCGACAACGACAGGAAGAAAGCATTTTTAACTTATCCATGGTATACATTACATATACTGTGGCTAGTAATTCTCCTACAAGGCTAACTGTAACTCAGAACCTGCAGATTATACAGAATTCAGATGGCACAGAACTGCGCTATCAAGCAGACTGCAACATTCACATTAGAAACAGTTACAGATGATTTAGTAATATGAAATCACATCTTAATTGTAATGCTGGACTAAGAGGATAAACAGCATCTCGTTCCGTAAGTCAAAGCCTTGGGTGAGAAAACTATTCAGAGAAATCTCAGCGTAGCACCAATTGTATGTAAAACTTGCAAGTTCTGTATCGTAACACATGAGATTGCAAAAAATTTCATGTACTTCGATCAAATCCTGACATAAATGATAAATTCTCTTATATAAAACTGCAACATTGTAAGACTACTTTTCTGCCTCAAAATAGTCCAAGCTTCCTTGCACAGCAAAACACAGTCAGAAAATGCTCTTTCTTCCCCTTTAATTTTCAAATACATCCCAAATGCCAAGACTCAATTAAGCTTCCTTAATTATACAATTAAATTAAATTAATTTCAGATTAATTTAGGTATCCAGTGTTACCACTACTGTAATGTCCAGAAAACCAAATCATGATGAGGACTTGATATGGTTTGAAGCTGGTTCCCTGCCAAGTCTCCAAACTTTACCACAAGAAGTCCCGCCCCCCCAAACCTCAGGGAGAAGAGGGAGAAAAACAACCAAGAAAACCTGAAACGAGAGAGAGACAGCTAAAGTGATATATATAAATATATTTACACTTATGTTACAATTATATACAATTGAAATATATATATACAATTTCACAAGGAAAAGGGAAGGGGGAAGGGAAAGGGAACAAAACCAAAATAAAATATATATATATATATCCCAATCCGTAGCCTGAGATCTAGTAACTAAAGAGTTAGCAAAGAAATATCCCACCACTCTCCTTGGGACAACCGAGAGTCGCTCCGGGACGATCGCCGGCAACCTCTGCCTCCCAAGGTCGACAAGGCCTTACCAGGCCTCGCTCCCCAACACGGCAGACTCAACAGCAGGGAACCTGCACCTCCAAGCTGCTGGAAGGAAAGAGAGCGAAGGCCTCTCCTCCTTTCTTCTTATAGTCTGGCTTATGTAAAAATCGTAGGGAATACTGGGTAAATCTGGACCCTTCCTTGGCTACAAACTGGTCACCAAGGAAGGCCTAACCCAAACTACCACAGGACTTCAACACACTAACAGCTTGCAAGCAATCTAGTTAAATATATAACGTAATAACATAAATAAATAATAACAACAGTTAGCAAAGGGACAGGAATTAGCAATAAGAAAAATAGTGACGTCTATTAAATACTTCAAAACTGCTTGGGGTTGTTCATATATTTCATTATGTTACTTAAACACAAGTGTGAACACACTTTACCTGAACACAGAACGTGCTCCACAGTACTGGCTGTACTTACTGGAAATGGTGGTGGAGGCTTACAGATGACATCAGGTAGAGCTGCACCGTTACCAAATCCAATAGCCTCAATGTTGAAGGTAAACGAAGCACGCCCTCTTCCTCTACCTGACCCAGCCATTTGGAGGTACTGAAAATATTACAGATTTTTAAACATACATATTTTCATTATATGTTTCAAATTCATGTATATATTACCTAGAAAATTAATGTCTAACAAAGATCACAATCATTTTAAGACAAAAGATTATTTTTAAACAGGAAGCCATTTTCATAGGTTCTTCAACAGACCATAAATTTGGTACATGCCTAAAATCAGCTCCATTCCCTTATTTCTGCCAGCCACCTCTGCATGCCTGAAATTACCTCCCAGCCTAAGAGTTTTAAACTTTCTTCTTCTAAACCTTAGTTTCACTGTATTGAGTTTAATTAGAACCAGAAAAAAAAGGGGGAATAAAGGTTTAAGGACCCTGAACTTTATGTTAATACATTCTTTAATTTCTGATCTTTTTTCCAAAAACTAGTTTGTGTTTATCACTCATGACTTCTTCATCCTTAGGTTGTTTTTTTGTCCTTTATCTTAGTAATTAGTTTTGGGTCCTGATGAAGTGACACAGGCAAAAAGGCTTAAGGCAATCAAAAGGTATCAAAAGACTCCAGCAGGACTGCAAGCTAACTGCTGATAAAAGGAGCTTGTTTCCAACTAAAATATTTAACAAAGGGTATAAAAGAAAAAGAGCCTGTAAAACATTTACAGTCATATCTCTCCACCTTCACTGGTTACACTGGCTACACCAACCTTCATCTCATGAATTGCATGACCCATGGGTTGGCAAGTAAAGCAAAATATGAGATTGGGGTAAGATGTCAAGAAGTGTGATCTAAGAGAAGCTTGGATGGAGCAGTGTGCTACTGCTCACAGCCCAAGGCCACACAGAGATTAGTTCAAGGCCCCAGCCCAGAAATACCACAAGCTATTTATCACTGACTGCAAGGTCACTGTACTGCACCTTGCTTAGTATGAACAGGTCTGTTCCATACCTACTGCTGTACCTGCATCATCACAACTAGTTCTCCCCAAACAGAAGCAATGGTCTTTCTATTACATGCCAGTGAGAAACAGGTTGATGCCAGTTTTTTCCTACTTGTGATTCTCAAGAGAAATAAGCTCTGTTTGGATGAAACAAAATCACATTATGTATTTCCATGGCACTCTGCACCACAGAATACTGTCTACAACTAAGCAGAGAGCTCTAAATAAATCATTTTTAGGAAAGAAAACAAAGGAAAAGCTAAACATGTAATTAACTGGAATGTAAAAAAAAAGAAAAATAAAAAAGAAACAAACTCCTTTGAAAATAGGATGAAAAGCAAGATGTGAGGCTTGCAGAATGGAGAAAGATAAAAGATACAGTCAAGCCCCAAATGTGAGCAATTATATTATCTAGGTGTATGTAGTGGGTTTCTGTGGCTGGGTTTTAGTAGCAGGGGGTCCTACAGTGGTGGCTTCTGTTAGAAGCTGCTAGAAGCTTCCCCTGTCTTGTGGAGCCAATGCCAGCTGGCTCCAGAATGGACTTCCTGCCACTGGCCAAGGTCAAACCAATTAGGAGTAATAGTAACACCTCTGTGATAACATATTTAAGAACAGAAGGTTGTTGTGCAGAAAGAATTCCAGCCAGGGAAGAGTGGAGTGAGAACATGGGAACAACCAAGTAGACACCAAGGTCAGTGCAGAAGGAGGGGCAGGAGGTGCTTCAGGTACCAGAGCTGAGGCCCCTGCAGCCCGTGGTGCAGACCATGGTGGAGCAGCTGTGCCCCTGCAGCTCAAGGAGGAGCCCATGCTGGAGCAGGTGGATGCATGAAGGAGGCTGTGACTCTGTGGAAGGCCCAAGATGGAACAGGGTCCTGCCCAACACCTGCAGCCTGTGGAGAGGGAAGCCCACGCTGGAGCAGGTTTTTCCCGGGTAAGACTTGTGGCCCCTGTGGGGGACCCACATCAGTACAGCTCATTGATGAAGGACTGCAACCCATGGAGGAGTGACCCACGGGACAGCAGTTTGGGAAGAACTGCTGCCCGAGGGATGGACTCATGCTGGAGAGGTCCATCAAGGACTACCTCCCATGGGAGGGACCCCACAGGAGCAAGGGAAGGAGTCCTGTCTCTGAGCAGTGGCAGAAACAACAGCTGACTGCAGCCTCCATTCCCCATCCCCCTGCACCGCTGCAGGGCAGGAGGGAGAACATGGAAGAAAGGAGGGATGGGGGGAAGGTGTTTTTAAGACTGTTTTATTTCTTACTCTTTGGCTCTTATCCTGTTAGTAATAAATTTAAGTACTATCCCCACTTTGAATCCAACAACAGAACAACACAACAAAATAAAAGTTGAGCTACCACAGAGAGAGGTGCTTTACATTAAATGTAGTGAATACAAAGGTTCATTTTTAAAATGCTGCTTTAAAATTAATTCTCAGTAAATTCCCTTGAAAAAGAGCATTAGTCTGATGAGAAGTAACAAGGTTTAAAACTAGTAGTATTTCAACTCCAAATTTTTACCCAAACTTGTGGTTTTTACAAGCATACTGGCTTAGAAGGTTTATGTCTACTGATGGCATAAATTGACAGTGACAGATGACCGGACAAATCGTGAAGGGGAAGTAAAGTTGAACAACTGAGCTACCAAGCATGACAAAGTTATAACTAGCTCTCTGGCTGCCACGAGGGATGTCTAATGGAGCACCTGGGGGCATTTTCATATTTATGGGTAGTTTGTGTGTCGTTTATAAACGAGAAGATTTTCAGATTTAAGCTTTTAAAACCTCTTCAAACTTACGTATTCAGTTTCTCGGGCACTCACTCAGGGGAAGGCAGCCGCTGCCTCGGGGAGGGAAAGGCCTCTGGAATCGGGATCCCTGGCAGCTGCGAGGCGGCTGGACGGACGGCAGCGGACGGGAGGAGGCTGAGCACTCCCACGGGTTCCCGGTATCCTCAGAACGAATCACCCGATTGTGTTTTGTGGATCGCAGACCCTTGCATTTCAGAAGCAGATGCAATCAGTTGAAGGGAAGAGCATATAAAGAAGAAAGGACTGAACTTTGGATATTAAGTTTTTGTGGGTGTTTATTTTTTTTAATCTGACGTCCCTGAAGGTAAACGGGTGAAGATGTTTGTCACGACTGTCACTAACCCCTACCGTGTGAGGATACGCCTCTCGGCTCCTCTCCGTTCCTCTCCCGCTCCCTCTCCCCTCGCTGACCGCCCGCCACCCCCCGCCCCAACCCGTCAGGGGTCCCTGAAGGGCCCAGGGCGTTTCGGCTTTACCTCCCCACCCGAGGGCGGGTCTCAGCCGCCTCCCCCTGGTACTGCCCCGGAGGGAAGGGGATTCAACCCGCTCGCCGCCTCACGCCACAACCAAACCCACCGACTCCTCAAGGCTCCCCCGCTTCTCAACCTTCGCGCTCCGCCCGCCGCTGCCGCAGTGGGCTGGGCCGTGCCAGCCCCGCCCGCCGCCGCCGGAACGTTCAGGGTGCTCCGCCGCCGACCAGCGACGGCCGGGCCATGTCGGCGCTGGAGTGGTTCGCGCACAAGCCCCTGGGCGGCGGCATCTTCTGGATCCAGGAGCGCTTCTACGAGTCCGGCAACCGGGCCAACATCTGGCTGGTGCGGGGCTCGCAGCGGGACGTGGTGATCGACGCCGGGCTGGGGCTGCGCAGCCTGCCCGACTACCTGCGCGACTCCGGGCTGCTGGCGCCGGCCGAGGGCGCCGGGCCGCGGCCGTTGCTGGCCGTGGCCACGCACGTCCACTTCGACCACTCGGGTGGGCTTCAGCACTTCGAGGAGGTGGCGGTGCACAGCGCCGAGGCGGCCGCGCTGCTGCGCGGCGACAACTACGAGGCCGTGACGTGGCTGTCGGACCGGGAGGTGGCGCGGCCGCCGCAGCCCGGCTGGAGCGCGCGGCAGTTCCGCGTCCCGCCCGTGCGGCCCAGCCGCCTCCTGCAGGAAGGTGAGGAACCGGGAGCTCTGGTTATCCACCCTGGAGCTGCGTCTCTGCCGCCCTGTGCGTCCTGCTTTACTCGGCTCCTCGTATAAAATAGTTAAACCGGTGTGTTTTTTCACTCCCGTCAACCTACAAGCCGCGGTCAGCAGGGACGAAGGAGACGCGTAGTGGGTTAAACCTTGTTGCCAGCAGTTCTGAAAGTATTTGCCATCAGGGTGTTTTTGTTTGGTTGCTTTGGGCGATTTTTCCCCCTTTTTTTTTGTTTGTTTGTTTTTTGGAGGGTGCTGGGTTGTTTGTTTTGGGGGGCTTTTAAGTTGTTTCTTTTTATTTGTTTGGGTGTTTTTTGTGGGTTTTGGTTTGGTTTTTTCTCCATTAGAATAAGAACCGCTCAACAGTGATTTAAATGACTTAATAGAGTACCACAGGTTTATCCTCAGGCTTCGAACAGTGTGTCACCGAGTCAATTGGATCTGCCATCTGGCGACCCTTATTTATAAGCTGCCAAGACACAGCAATGCAATTAACAGTTTCTTGAAATATGTACTGTGGATACAGTTTTTGTTCTACAGAATTTACAGGCATTTACGGAATTTTACGTGAATTATGTTAAACGTCTGTAAAAAGTGGCTTGTTACTGATGTAACATTTACAGAAGTGGCTTGTTGCAGATCAAAGAAGCCATTTAGTCTTTCACAGGTGACAGGACTAGTTTTTTTGGCAACAAACCACCTAAACTGTACCATACAGTGCAGCAGAAGTTAAAGGATAGGTGTCTGACAGACAAGTGACACCTTTGGCTGGGAATTTACTCTCTTGGCTTTATTAGACCATCCCACATAGGTGCTTGGAAAAGCAGAACTGAACTTACTGAAGGATTCAGTGAAGAGCTGATGTGACACTTAGCTGTAGTAAATCAACAGAAATCTAAGGCTTTTTTTTCTTTAAAAGGAAGGGATTATTAAAATAATCTTGTGAAAGAGCAAGCATGTAAGAATCAACATAATATCAAAGTTTCTAAAATAATGTTCACTGAGACATGAGACTGACTTTCTGCTGAAAGTTCAGTGGTTGGTTTAATGAAAGTGAATTCACATTTAAACTGGCAAAAAATTACCTAATGTTAAGAAATGTCTATTTTTATATCTTATTGAATGAGATGAAGAAAGTGTGTGGAGGCCAGTCTTGGTTCTCCTCCAGCAGTTTATGTTCTTTCCTTTTGCCTAGAATGCAATTCTAGGTGATTTAAGTGAGGATAAAATGATAATAAATTGTAAAATACTTTTTAAACTTTTCAAAAGAAACTCATCTTAGATGTGTTCTGTTTGTTTCCTGTTTTATTTTCTCTATTCCATTGCTTTTCACATTTTTTAATTTATTAGAGTAGGAATAGATTCCATTAATACAGACCAAGCCTGTGTTAACTGTTGGTATCATTGGAAAATACCTTTTTGTCAACCATATCTTTCAGACACCTCTTTGGCACTCACCAAGAAAATAAGTGCCCTGCTTCTGTTGTTGCAGATATTTATTATTTATAAATAGTGTTTATAATAGTATTTATAAATCTTTGCCTGTAGGTAGGTAGTTCTCCTCATGGTGTTTAATGAACATGATAAATTCATATGTTTTCCTGTAACAAATCTGTTTGCAGGGGATGTGATCAGCCTTGGAGATCGACAGCTCACTGTCATGCACATGCCTGGTCATTCCAGGGGCAGTATTTGCTTACATGACAAGGACAGGAAGATTCTGTTCAGTGGGGACGTGGTGTATGATGGATCCATGATTGACTGGTTGCCCTACAGTAGAATCAGTGACTATGTTGCAAGCTGCCAGCGCCTTATGGAGTTAGTGGACAGAGGACTTGTGGAGAAGGTACTTCCTGGGCACTTTAACATATTTGGGGCAGAAAGGCTGTACCGGTTAGCTTCCAACTACATCTCCCAGGCTGGAGTTTGTCACAAGATTTCTACCTGTGCCATGAGATCCATTGCGAGCATAGCGCTTCGCATTACAAATTCAAGAATCACTTCTCAGTGACAGTCAGTTTTGTGTGATTTGTTACCTTCTGTAAAATGAAATGGCTTGTGAAAGCGTCGATACAAGCAAAAGCAGTATGCATTAGCAAAAAGATGGTAAATTGATACAGGTGAGCTGCAAAAATTCTCCTTATTTTTACCTACTTTATTTGTATTTTTATAAAAACTATGTAAGCTAGTAGCATTAGCCAAAGCTACTTTTTGTTCTATTTTTTCAGGGCACTTTTGCACATGTATTGCGATTGAAATATGTTACTTTATTTTTGTTACAATTCTGACAGATGGATTTATGCCAAAATGGGAGGTTTGACATTCACACCTGAAACCTTGTTGATGTAGTACCAGGTTTGTGATTATTCATCAACTCCTGCTCACGTTTTGCTAACAGAGCTCTTGCTAAGACCTATCATATGCTGGAAGCAGCACCATTAGGACAAAGCAAGAGCAACACCTATGCAGGACTCAGTAGGCAGAAAGAGTACATGGGCCATCCCGCAGCCATTGCCACTTGTGCGGTGGTGTTTGCTGCACCCCTCATCATCTGCATTGTTATATTTGCAAAGTACCTGTCTTGCAGTTTCTTTAGAATACACTAACATATGGAAATTCTACAGACCAAACTTCCAAGCTGGAAGTCAGAGATACATCAGCTTATCTAAAAAGTTTTTGGTGCAGATCCAACAGCAGATGGACCTGTTGAGGCCTTCATGTTTCCTGGTGTGGCGCAAGGAACAGCTGCACCAGGAGAGAGGAGCAAGCAGGAGCACTCTCACCATTAGCTAGGGAACTGTTTTGCTTGTATGTGTGTGAGTTAGGAATTAGAGAATTTGTGAACTCATGAATTAATGTGTTAGACTAGCCTATACAAAGTAGATTGAGCCTTTTCTTGATGTGCTTATTTTTTTTTCTGATAAGCTCATAAAAATTCTTATAGAATATGTTGTTTTGGAAGTTTGAGAGAACTGGACTGTGACAGGCTTAAAGGTTTTATTTGTGCTTAAGAGTATTTTTATGTGACTGTATTGTAACTTGGTTGTTGATGATCTGTGCTAGGGAAAGGATGGAGGCTTTCACATGGCCTTGCCATATTCCAGGGTACTGCATGAAGCAGCTGGTTGACTTTGTTACCACGAAGTGAATGTAACTTGAACTGTTTGCTGTTTGTGTCTGAGGTGTGTTTGTATCTGCACATGGTTTTTATGAAATGTAAAGTGTGTTGCATTTGAGTCTGTTCCAAAACAATGTTGAATACATTGAGAACTGCTAAACTAGATTGTAACTTGTTTATGAAAATTGAATGTGTGATATTTAAAAGCTGTTGAAATGGTTAGTTTGTGCAATTATTCAAACAGTCTATATATATTTAATTTTTTAAAAGGACGCCGTCTGATGTTATTTTTGTACATAGACATATATATGTTCCTAGAAAGAGTGCAAATGTTTCTCCCAAAGTTTAGTGCATTTTAGCCTTTTTTATTTGGCTTTCACTTCAGCAGAAGCTTTTTCCCCCCATCATAGCCAATAGAAAGGGAGCCCAGAGTTTGGGCTCTGTCTAAGGCATGGTGGAGAGGAAGCTGATAGCCCTCTGAATAGGTGCAAATTCTGGTGAAAAAAGAAAAACAATTGCAAAGTAAAAAACAGATCTATCTAAAAATGATGAAAGAGAATATGTTATGTAGTGCTTTTTCCCTCTCACAGATCACTACACTCCTGCCTTTACTGTCTGAATATATTCTTCACCAGGATTTGTACTGATTGGCTGTGATGTGCCTAGTTCTTGTTAGCAGTGCCTATCTCCAAGCCGAAGCAAAATTATGAGTGGGTGAGATGTGCAGAGATATAGCACATGAAAGACCTTTCATCACTCAGATCACGGTCTCTTTTTTTTTTTGAGAAATCCATGTACATCAGTACATGAGGAGTATTTAGTGGGTAGATTTATGTCTTAAAACCAAGAGCATTTTATCTTGGCCTCAGCTGACCAGAGTAAATAATATAAAGAGTTAGCCTAGAACAGGCTGAGGAAATACATAGCACTAAAGCTTAAGCTAGTTATCCAGAGGAAGCCATGATGTCACATGTTACCCAACAGTAACTGAATTCCTGCAAATTATCCATCTGCAGTGTAACACTAGTAATAATTGTGCTCTATGCTTTTGTGAAAGCTGTAGGAGCATTGGAGATAACCCTGTGCAATATGGCAGAACAGACAGAACTCTTGTGTCACAAAGCGTGCCGGTATGGATGTTGGTTGCTAAAATTTTGCAAACGTTCATTAGGAGAGTGAGATCACTTTGAATTGGTATTCAGTATTATACCACTATAAATTTGTTTATTTCATCCAATATTAGAATCTCTGTAGCCAGATTTTACTGTATTGTACAGCCTGAGCTGCTATGAGAAGACGCATAGGCATGTAAATTCAAAAGGACAGATAACCTCCGTCGTCTGACATTTGTGTTTAATTCTCTGCTAGTATCTCTATTAGCT